TCCCCCTGCTGAGCAAGACTCTGCGTAGACTTCAGCGTAGGGGAAAGTCTCTCTGCTGTGGCACTCGTGTTGGGACCACATAAAAGCTGGGTTTGCAGCCTGCTGGAGCACGTGCTGCCTTGGCACCGCTCGTGCCTGCCTTCACAAACGGCCTCTGCGGGGTGAATTTGAGCATTGAGGTTTTTCACAGGCTGGTAGCACATCTGTCATCTGTCTCCTGCCTCCATCCGCGACACCTCCAGTAGACAGGGAGCTTGTTGGGATTTGTCTTCCCTCTGGGTCAGGAGGACGTGCAGTGGCAGAGGATCAATAGCGAGCTGAGACGTTTTCCTTGCTTAGCTCAGCGTATACCTACACGTACCGCGTAGTTTAGGCGCCTCTGTGTCGCTTAATGACAGACAATTCTGCTCACAGAGGTTTCGGTGCTCCAGAGGGCCCTGCGTTGGCATCCATACCATATCCATACCTTACAGCAAAACACTTTTCTGTGCCTCTTGCCTGGCCGTACCGCTTTGAACAGCAGCGCTCCCTGCATTTCTGACGGCGTTACCCAGCCTCGCCCGCTGGTGCCTGTCAGCATCACACCCACATGAAAGCAGGGAATATTGTTCCGCCCTTGCTGATCGATCAAATGCAAAGAAAGCTTTTTGGGGGGCTAGAAGCTGTGTTTTCTGAGGATAAAAAGAGAAACTGCATCTTCCAAACTGGCTTTAGCCTAAGGAGGCTGTGGAAGGGAACACAGACACCCCTGGTGTGGGCTAGAGGAAGCTCCCCAGGGCACCACAGTGTGTGCTCTCTGCATTTAAGCGCTTGTCATTACCTTGTTTAAGTGAAGGCGAGACAATCTTTCCCCTGGCCGCCTTGGGGCGGGATGGAGTGTGTCAGGAATAAATCATGGAGTCGCTTAGGTTGGAAAAGACCTTTAAGGTCATCAAGCCCAAGTGTTAACCCAACACTGCCAAGTCCACCACTAAACCCTGTCCCTAAGCACCATGTCCCTAAGCACCATATCTACACGGCTTTTAAATCCCTCCAGGGATGGGGACTCAACCACTTCCCTGGGCAGCCCCTTCGAGTGCTTGACAACCCTTTTGGGGAAGGAATTTTCCCTAATATTGAATCTAAACCTCCCCTGGCACAACTCGAGGCTGTTTCCTCGTATTCTAACAGCTTTCAGCACCTCCTCCTTGTGCCCTCGGTGGAGTTCTCCACCAATTCATGGGGGCTCCTGGTCCTCCTCTCATCCCGTGATGCTGAGAGCTCTGTAGCATTGAGGCTCCAACACTGGGAAGCATCAAAGGTGAATCCTCGCTCCTGAGCCCGCACGGTGCCCTGGTGAGGAGAGCGCTGGGATGGAAGGGCTGGTTTGAAACCTCACTCTCCCTCTTCCAGATGCTGTCAACGGTGCTGAATATCATCATCTTTGAGGACTGCAGGAACCAGTGGTCGATGTCTCGGCCGCTGCTCGGCTTGATATTGCTGAATGAAAAGGTAAACATCCCACCCTGCCCTTGGAGCTGGAGGAGGTGTTCGGGCTTGAATGATGCTGGAGCCTTGGGGCTGAAGGGAGCAGAGCGGTGTCAGGGCGGGCGGTTGGGAAGCTGGGCATGGAGAGGTTGTGTGTCGAAGGGAGGGTGTCCAGCCCTCCCCTGCAGCAGCCTTGGTGCTAAGGAATCCTGTTAATCTCCCTTTGTAAGGGCGCTAGAGCCCGTTCGGCATGCTCTGTCCCAAAGCCATGGGGCTGTTCCTCTGCAAATTAACCCGTCCTTCCCTTCTCTCCCCCAGTATTTCTCTGACTTGAGGAACAGTATAGTGAACAGCCAGCCTCCGGAGAAACAGCAGGCAATGCACCTCTGCTTTGAGAACCTCATGGAAGGCATCGAACGCAACCTCCTAACCAAGAACAGGGACAGGTCAGTACAGGCCAGAGACCCCTTTGCGGGGCTGAGCCCGCGCTCGGTGCAGCCTGGAGGCTGCGTGGTCCTTGTGGCAGCCTCAAAAAGGGGGAAGAGGCAAGCTCCTGCCCTAACAAACCGCTCTGCCTTTTCCTCAGGTTCACGCAAAACCTGTCGGCGTTCAGGCGAGAGGTGAACGACTCCATGAAGAACTCCACCTACGGCGTGAACAGCAACGACATGATGAGCTGACGTCTCCCAACTCCGCCTGTACAGAGCAGCATCTCTTTGGCCTGGCCCAGAGGGGTTACCGTTTCCGATGGAAAGAAAAGAGGGCGTTTCTAATCCCTGCTCTTCCCCAGGGCTGGATTGCGGCGCTCGCTTTGGGCCGTACTCCACGTCCCGAGGGAGGAGGGAACAGGAGGGGTTGTTGAGCTCACCGGGGCAGGGTGCTTCTGTTTCCGTGGGAGGGGGTGGAAGGGCATAAAGCCAGGTGCAAGAATCCAGCGTCTCCCTACCCGAATGTCTGCGTGGAACGCCAGCGCTCTGCTGCAGCCTGCCTTGTATAAACATGTACATTTTTTCATAACATTTTGAACAAGGTTTATATTGACTCAGTTTAAAAAAAAAAAAAAAGACAAAAAAAGTGTGATTGAAATTTTTACAGAGTCCCTGGTGCACCGGTGCTGGCGTGAGGGTTGTGTATGCGAGTGAGGAAAGCGTGTCCTGCAGGCCTGAAGCTTTACTGGGCGAGGGGTGGGTGTGTGAAAGTGCAGAGATATATTTAGTGACAAGTGTAGAGAGAAGCAAAAAAAAAAAAAAAAAAAAAAAAAAAAAAAAAAAAAAAAAAAAGGGGTTGGGGGGGGGGGGAGGGGGGAATATCAGTATTTGCAGCTACGAAGAGTCCATTGGTATGAAATATTTTCTTCAATTTAGTAATGGAAAATAGCTGGCTTCTCGTTTAGCCTACGTACATCCACTAACTCGTGTCAGCTCTATTCTCCATAAATGTACTTTGGTTATAGTCGCATGTTTCAGTCCAGACATCTTTGGCCTAAACAAGCTGTACAAAGCAGGATTTCCACAGGAACAAAAAAATACTAGTATGCTCCCCCCGAGCTGCCCTGCCGCCTCGCGGGGCTCTTAATAACAACGTATGTAAAGTATGAAGCATTTAACACCCCCTTTAAAATGATCCCCTTTTTTTTCTATTCTCTAAGTCACCCTAATAAATGTTTTGGCTATACAATTGACCTACAGAAGAAAGCTGATGGGGGAGGGAACCTGTTTGCCTTGTACTTTTCCCACTATCGTTGCTGCTAGTCGTGTGCATCCCCTTGCTCAGCTCTACCCACCGCCACTCGGTCCTTTAGGCCTTCAGTTTCCCGGACACCACCTACTCTTCATTTTATTTCCTTTTTTTTTTTTTTTAATTTTTTTTCCTTTTTTTCTTTTTTTTTTTTTTGTTTTCTTTCCTCTGGCGATTGTGTGTTGGGTCCTTTTTCGCGTGAGCAGATTGCTGGTTGACTTGTAAGGGTGTTTGCTGCATACAGTGTAAGCATTGTGACTGCAAATAAAACTTCAATGGTTTCTACTGAGCCGTCTCTGCCTGGGCCATCGCCTGCGCCCCACGCTCTCCCCTGCACGCACCCGCAGGCCCCTGCCGCCTGGGGAGGGGTGGGGGACATGGGAGAGTTTCCCAAATTAAACGGGTTCAAAAAGCATTATTATGTGATTGGCGTGGGTGGCTCATATGCTGGCACGGGTCTAGCCAAAATCCATGTGGATTCAGCAACACTTCCTTAGCCTTTTTGGTCCGTTCTAGGGAGCGACCCTTTCAACACCTGCAGCACAAGGAATTAATTTATATATATATATAAATTTTTTTTTTTTTAAAAACCTTTATTTACAGTCTGCAAATGGAACCTGAACTCAGAGAGGCAGGGAAGGCAGGTACAGCCCCGCTCTGCCAGGGCAGGGGCCCTTTTCCCCCCCCCGGGCCGGGCTCCGCC